GATCTCTTCAATTGTGTTTTTGTCGGAAGCCCCTGTTGGGGGGGGGGGGGAGTCAGCATAGTGAGGTGGCAGAGCATCGGGGGAAATATCCCGGATTCAGCAAAAATGGAAACTACTTGCTTAACATAAGAACATAAAAGATGCCAATGTTGGATCAGGCCAAAGGCCCATCCAGTCCAACACTCTGTGTCACACAGTGGCCAGAAATACCAGGTGCCATCAGGAGGTCCACCAGTGGGGCCAGGACATTAGAAGCCCTCCCACTGTTGCCCCCCCCCCCAGGCACCAAGAAGACAGAGCATCACTTGCCCCAGAGCCCCTATCTATACCTTGTGGCTAATAGCCACTGATGGACCTCTGCTCCACATGCTTATCTAATTCCCTTTTGAAGCCGTCCATGCTTGTAGCCGCCACCACTTCCTGTGGCAGTGAATTCCAAGTGTTAATCACTCTTTGGGTGAAGAAGTACTTCATTTTATCCATTCTAACCCGACCGCTCAGCAATTTCATGAAAGGTGGCAAACGGTGTCCAACTAACACGCTTGAACAGCTTTGGGTTCAGGTGGGCAGCAAAGAGAGCAAAGGTTTGGGTATAGTGGCACCTTTAAGACCAACATACCCTGTTTCCCCGAAAATAAGACCTACCCCCAAAATAAGCCCTAGCAGGATTTCTATGCATTTGTGGTATAAGCCCTAGTGTGTCCTCTTGAGAAAAAATAAATATAAGACAGTGCCTTATTTTTCGGGGAAACACGGTAGTTTAATTCTTGGTATGAGCTTTCATGCGCATGCACGCTTTTTCAGATTTAGTCCAGGTTTAGTTTATTTTAGCAGGAATCCAGATGCCTCTGGACTGCCTTCGTACACTCCGCTATTTTTCTGGGTGGGGGGATATGCACAGTTTTAGCAAGCCTTGTAACGGTGCTACTTGAAACATTCCAAAACAATAAATCCACCATTTATTTTTGAATTTGGGGCCTGGGTGCTTGTGAAATCCAAGCCCACACACGATGCTGCATTGAAAGAAAACTACAGCAACCTGTAATTAGAGGCTAATTGCTTTTCTCGCTGCAGTAGAGTATTTCTGGTAGTCTTCATTAGCTGCCTATTTGTGCATAAATAGCTGTTGAATAACATTTCCCTAGAATCTTATTTCCATTGGGATTTTTAAACCTGTTCCTGTGAATCTGTGGTTTTGCGTATTCAACCGTGGAGGAAGATTGCCTGGTCCGTTTGGGATGTCAAGTTCTCTGACTCCTACCGGATGGCATTTGTTTCTCCCTGTTTTGCCTGCTGCATCCCCCCTTCTTGCTTTAATAACGGCAGCAGACCACAATCCTGAGCTTCCAGTAGAACTAGCTTCATTAGTATAGCCGCAATAGCTTAGCTGCCTTAGCTATAAAACACTCTTTTCTCTACCAGTTTAACCGCGTTATTGTTTTTCCTGCTCTCCCTTAGATGTTTGGAAAGTGGACGTTTGGTACTCTGGTATTCACAGTTATGGTGATAACTGTTACGATGAAGGTATGGCCGAACTGTTGTTTCCCTTCTGTGCTGCATGTCATTGTTTTCTGTATTGTCATTAACTACAGTAACCAGAAAATGAAGCCTTAATGCAGGGGTCTGCAACATCGTCATGATCCTAGGCCTATAGTAGTGCAGCCTACAGGCTCTAGGGAGGCCTAGTGGCTCCAGGGAAGCATGGACTCTAATCTGGGAGAACCGGGTTTGATTCCCCCCTCCTCCACTTGCAGCTGGATGACCTTGGGCAAACCACAGTTCTGTCAGAGCTGTCCTTGAAAAGGGCAGTTTCTGTCAGAGCTCTCTCAGCCCCACAGGGTGTCTGTTGAGGAGAGGGGAAGGGAAAGGAGTTTGTAAGCCACTCTGAGACTCCGAGTGAAGAACGGGGTATAAATCCAGTCTCCTCTTCTTCAGTATTGAAAAATCATTTATGCTAATTAAATCTTGGCTGCACTAACAGAATTTCTCATTCTTATGTCTGTTTTTTAGATGGCTTTAGAGACTCATTTCTGGACTTGGATCAATCATTTTGTTACCTGGGGCTCCATTGCGTTTTACTTTGTATTCTCCTTGTTCTACGGGGGAATTATATGGTATGCATCTTCTTTATATGAGCACAGAGTATAATTATATATGGTGACCATACTTGTTATGAGCACAGAGTACTCTCTGTGTCAAGGTACTCCGTCTTTCTGTGTGATACCTCTGAGGATGCCAGTCACAGCTACTGGCGAAATGTCAGGTCCTACAATGCCAAGGCCAAGGCCAGACAGCCCGGAAAATCTACAATAGGTAATTACTGCTGTTTGTTGACATTTCCTCGTTCTTCTCCTTTCCAGGCCGTTTTTGCACACCCAAAACATGTACTTTGTCTTCGTCCAGCTGCTGTCCAGCGGCTCCGCCTGGTTTGCCATAATCATCATCGTGGTCGCATGTCTGTTCCTCGACGTTGTGAAAAAAGTGCTGTACAGACACCTGCAGCCCACGTGTACAGAAAAGGCCCAGGTAATGCGATCTTACATGCGATACATCTAACGTGCAGCGGCTTCAGTAGAGAGGACCCCAGAGGTTTGCTAGATTTCCGGCCTGCGTTGGAATTCGGTTTGAAATCATGTTGCTTAAGCTACCGAGAAGGGTGTTCAGGTATATAAAAACAGAAATGCTGAATGTGTATATTTTTTTTACATGGCAGGCTTTAAAAAAAAAATGAGGAATGGCAGTTTCTCTGCCTCTTGACTATGTCGGTGTGTACGTGAAGGCGTTCATGTTGCCAAAAGATGGAAGTTTCAGAGCCAAAAAATAAATCTTTTTTTTTTTTTTTTGTAATTGAGTCCCTGTGAATTTTTATGGCACAGCCATTAGCCGCCAACGACTCGAATGTACAGAGCTCGCTGTGGCTGTACCACCACTTGCTGTTCATGGTGACCAGGCCGGCTTCTATCTGGGATGGGCCTGCCGGGTAAGGCCTTGGATGCTGCAGTTAGGGCTCCCGACACTGTCTTGGCAAATGCCCAGCGATTTGGGGGGGGCAGTGCCTGGGGGGCAGTGCCTCCCCTGGTCTCTGTGGACTTAACCATAGAGACTGAGGGAAATTCCTAGTGCGTCACTGTGTAGAGGCCATTTTGGTGTAGTGGTTAAGTGTGTGGACTCTAACCTGGGAGAACCGGGTTTGATTCCCCACTCCTCCACTTGCACCTGGCTGGATGACCTTGGGCAAGCCGTAGCTCTGATAAGAGCTGTTCTTGGGAAAAGAGCAGTTTCTCTCAAGAGCTCTCTCAGCCCTGCCCTGGGCGGCCTAGCTGTAGGGCATCTTCGCCGCAGCACCTAGGAGCAAGCTCTTTTCCTGTGGCCTCCCCGGTTGCCCACAGGGTTTCAGTTCCTGGCACGACCTAATCTCCCTGTTCATCTTTCTTGCCCCCGTTCATCTTTCCAAAAGCTTGCCTTGGTGGGGGAGAGTTCCCGGGAACACTGATTGGGAAAGGAGGGTCAGGCCACACCCCGAGCAGTCCGGGATCTGTCCGGAATCGGTTAAGGGGGGGGGAGAGGACCCCTAACTGGCATTTCTGGGTGGCCTGAATCATTTCTTACGACACCGGCTTCCTTTCTGATCCTCATCGGCTAAAAATGGTGAATTTTGTAATGGTTTCTAGCACCTGTACGGCAGTGACTCGGGGAGGCGGCCAGGCTTGCTTTGTTGAAGGTCGGGCTGGTCGCCAGCGTTGCCAATCAGAGCTGGGCTCCTTTGGCCGGCCTGCACTCTGAATCGTGATGCTCCGGCTACAGAGGGCAGCCGGCTGGCGCTGTGGGTCACAGCATCCGGGCATTAAGCATCGCAGCACAGTTCTGAAAACACAGCCCCCCCCCCCCAAGGCGTTTCTCCTGTGTCTTCATCGGAGTCAGCAGTGTTAAAACTGGCCTGCAGGTCTGTCTCTGCTACATACACATGTTCGGGGGGATGCACATGCTCTCGTGCATTGTGTGCACCTGTGAACAGTTTCCTTCAGACAGTAATATATGCCGGGGCATAAATCCCCAGTGGAAAGGAGCGCGGTAGAAGCCGTTTCCCCCCAGGCAGGCAGTCAGCGCGAGGAGGTGAGGCGGAGAGCTGTTTTCTTCTTTCTCTTCTGGTAGTTGGTTCTTCCATGGAGTGAACGGCATAAGAAAGCTCTTGCCAAGTTTGGCCGTTCTTCTGGCATCGGATTTAACCCATCAGCACTCGAATCATCCCTACTTCTTCTTCACTAACTTCAGCACTCTCTTCCCGGCAGTCTGCTTGGGGGCCCCTCCCCTTGGTCTTTCAGAAGCTCTGCTGCAGGTAGGCGTGTCCGTGGGGGAGCTGCTTCACCGTGTCAGGGGCCCCGTGGAAATGGAGAAGGCTGTTTTTGTACCCCTGTCGTTGAAGAGCTATCCTGCGTTCGGAATGCCGTAGTGCCTCTCGGTTTTCCAGGAGCTGTTCAGAATTTGCATTTAATCCTCTGCCCTTGTTGGCAACACCCTAAAGGTTGAATACCCATTACACTTTTCTTAAGGAACAGGGAGCTTTAATGGCCTGGGAGGCCACCAAGAATGTCCAGGGTTGCTCTGCTGAAGCGAGTAAGGGCAAGCCACCTCTGAATAACTCTCGTTTTGAAAACCCCATAGAAGGTTCTCATAAGTCAGCTGGGACTTGAAGGCACTTCCCCCCCCCACCCCCCACCACGATGTGAATGGCTCACTCCCATCCTTCAAATCCACATGATACTTTTGTGTGTGCTACCTTTCTAGCTCAAGGTGACGGACACGATAATGGCAGCTTTGACCACAGCGTACCGCCTAGTTACCCTTGAGATGGCGGACTGACAGGCCAGGCCGGGAGTGGGGATTCCCTAGATCCAGCCTGGCGCAGCGGTTAAGACCGGCAGACTCTAATCTAGGGAACCGGATTTGATTCCCCACTCTTCCTCCACGGGAAGCCCGCTGGGTGACCTTGGGTCAGTCCCAGTCCTCTCTGAGCTCTCTCAGCCCCACCTACTTCACAAGGGTGCCTGTTGCGGACAGAGGAAGAGCAGGCGATCACAAGCCGCTTTGGGACGCCTTAAAAGGTAGAGAAAAGCGGGGTATAAAAACCAACTCTTCTTTTTCTTGACTGAAGGTTTCCCAATCGAAACAGTTCCCTGCCATGTAGAAAACTGGCATTGTTTTGGGGGAAGCGAGGCTTGGAACACCCCTCCCTGCCATCTCTGTCTCTACGTGGAGGGATTTCTTTTTGTGTGTGTGTATGAAATGCTCCATCATGTCACTGACCCACCCACCGGTATTCTGAAGCAATGCAGCCCAGATGCAGGTTTTTGTTTACCTTAATACGCCTGCAATTTTAAGAGCACATACGATCAAATATATATTTGCTTGGAATTCTTGTAGAGAGAGGCTGTTCCATCAATCGCACACTATGGTTTTTTAAAAAAAATCTGAAATAATAATGTCGAGCTAGTAAAGACTAAGATTTAATAAGCCACCATTTCGCTTACAAATCACGCTTTCTTTTAGTGGGAAGTTCTGAAAGTCTGACGAAAGGCCATGAGAATGAAATCCCCAATCATCTCTCTCTTGGAAGGCCAGCTGGGGGGGTCTTTCCTACTGGTTTGGCTCCTGAGCCACAGAGAGGCAGATCCCGCCATGTCGGTCTTCCTCCGTCTAAACCGGTCTTTATGGTGGCAAAAAGCTTTCCTCAGCCCAGAGCTCATTTTTTTATTTCCAGGTGAAAAACAAAATCTTGCCTGTTCTGGATTGACGTGTAAACAGCTGTGTGAGCAGACACTCCCCATAACTGCCACGATGGTACAGTAGTTTGGCACAATAAAAGTTGGTTGGTCTTGCCAAAGGGAAATGTGGAGTAGTCTTTGTTATAGCCGTTTCTTTGTTAATAGCAATTACAGTTCTCATCAAGAGTTATTGCTTGGAGGTAAGTCATTTCACTTACCTTGGTTTATCATACAGGTATAAACACGGATTGTTGTAAATACTGAAGCCACTTGGTGGGTTGGAATCAAGTGGTGAGTGCCACCATTTTGCAGAACAGAACTGGGATTCAACCCATTATCATCACTGGGTGGAATACGTCACTTTTCCCCCCAAGGTTGGCAAGTCCGCTGTTAAGGGTGTGCTCCAGATGTTTCCCGAAAGCCCCGTTTCCCTGCTCTCTCGTCATGTCTTGTGTGTCCATGACATGTTCATTCCTTGTTCCAACGGGCGGCAAAGCATCAATTCTAATTGGACTTCAGTCTTGCCAAGGAATAGCTTGCTGTTGGCTAGTGCTTTCCCGTGGGAAGAAATGACCAGTAATCGCATGATAAAAATGCTAGTTTTTGTGAAGGTTTCAATTAAGGTCACACAAGATATTAGTATTGTAGAAGGGATGCATATTAAGTTTGTGGTATTTCTGGTTATTTTCCCCCCCCCCCCCCCCCCCCCCGCAGCACTGCCTGGTGGTGCTTGAGGCTGGGCTCGAGTTGAATACCATGGATAGCATTAGCTTGTATTAGTCTCCTATAGCTTGTATTAGTCTCCTATGCGCAAGGACACTGGTTTTCAACACAGTTTTTAAAATGACTGTGGCTTAGAAGGTCACATTCTACAAATCTGCCCCAGGTTCTCCATGACTGATGGAGATGCTTAATTTGTTAGACTGATTTCCCACTACTTGCTGCGCAGCCACATTTTGCCCCGCAACTTCACCCAATTTTCCCCGGATTTACTCAATCTTCGAAAACAGGATCAAGTAGATGCGGGGAAAATCAGGCAAAGCTGCGGGGCAAAATGCAGCCACGCAGCAAGTAGTGGAAAATAGAGATGTAAAATTCCGGAAATTTTGAAGCTCAGGAAAAAAACCTGGGTTTATGGAAATTTTCAGGAAAAAATGCTACATTAGCACTTCTTTTTTCTTTTCCAGATTGAAAGTCATTCTGTTACTTTAGGAACATAAAATATGACTATGGACATTTTTACTTGGCATGAAATTATCTCAACTAGCATATTAAAAATACAGTGTATCCAAAGAATTATTACAAACAGAATACCCACCCACATGCAAGAACAAAACTGAAACCTTTTTCTTTTCTTGTGACAATCAAAAGGAAGAAATGCATCTTGTTCTTGCATTGGAGAGTTCAGTTTGTAACCTAGGACTTGCTTGTCCTCAGTGCACAGAAATTAGATCAATCTGATACCATACATATTTTTTAGAAATGATCTGGAAAATATTTGAACACCTCTTGTCTTAAAATATTTTATTCATAATGTTAAAATAAAATGTTCCATAATCAATTTTTTCTTTCTTTTCTTTTTTCAATTTTTCCAATTTTTCGGGGGGGGGGATGGTTTCAGGGGAAAAACTGGTTTCCCCCCGAATTTTTCCTTTTTTTCCCCGGGCCTTCACATCTCTAGTGGGAAATTGACTAATGTAATCAGGGGAAAGGGAAAAGCGAGGGTGGAGCAGCAGCTTGTGAGAAGTGGGTCACTGTGAACGT